TGGATGGGTAGAAAAACAAAGTCGCTTGAAAATGAAATTTTCCTTAAGTTTTGTATGGAAACGACTTTATTTTTCTACCCATCAATTCCCGCTGTGCGGGATCGAGTCGGGGCTATATTTAACTTATGTATATTCTATTCCTCTTTCGAATTTTGACTTCTTTCTTTTTTTCTGGGGTTCTGGGCCATATTGCATTGAATTTTTTAATTGACATGATTTTTCACTTTTACTAACATAATTGGAGTTCGTCTCTTATTACGATAGAATATTGTCTATATTAAAGTTTGAAGTTAGTAAAAATACAACATTAAATTGAAATTCACATTTGTAATAAGAAACTTGTATAAATATATTATAAAGGGTTCTCAAGATTCGTAAAGAAGCTTTTCCCTGCTTACGGCAAACCAAAGCTTCGAGCACTACTGATACATATATGTATTTAATATTTAATTTCATTTGCCAGTATGTCATACTTGCGATCCGAGACAACACTCAAAGTTTTTACTCCTATATACGCCAAACAAAATATTACAACTCCGCTATAATAAAAAATAACGGTTTCACACCACAAATAAGAAATAAATAAACTAACTGAATATTTTATTACATTAGATCGGCTTTTGCAACACAAAAAACATTATCTATAAGTGAACCTACTTCCATTAAAAATGAATCATTAGTCTTCTGCGAGTGCAATAAAGTGAATTTCCGCAGGGAATCGCATTACATCTTTGCCGATAAGATTAAAATATCGCAATCAGTGGAAATAAAAAATATTTTGTGACCAATTCATCGGTCACAAATATGAGCAGAAGTACGATACAAGACCAAAATGACGATTGTTTTGCAACTATCTGCGAGAGTTTAGTCAAAAGCTTTAAGGACTGGAACCATGACCTTTACGAGAAACTTCCAAACGAGTTTGTCTTTTTAAGAGAGGCATACATAATTGTAATAGATTTGGTAGATAAGTACGACTTATTGGAAACCTTTTGCGAAAGAGATAGGCAAATATATTGGACTTTATATGTGAATGCGATCAAGGAGAATAAAGTCCTGGAAAGTTTCACATTAACATACCGACGAAGCGATTCTGAGAATTTGGATAGGGTTCAGGCCCTGATAAATGCCATTAGTCACAAAAACACTCTTGAAGAACTTATAATTTCATTTGATGGTAAGTTTCTCTGCCAAGAGTTTAGAGTTCATTGTGATCTGAACACTTTAAGTTTACAGGATATAGCTTCGAAAATTTGCCGCAGCTGGGTCAATTAAAATATCTTGATCTCAATGTTCGAATGGATGCTAAAGATTTAGTTCAGTTGTGCCGATCAAATCCTGATTTAGAAGATATTATATTCATCAACAGCAAATTATATGAAAGGTTTGCGGATATTGTACCATTCTGTAACCAACTGAAAAGACTAGAGTTAACCATGGAGACCGACATAGATGCCTCAGAGTATGCACCATTGGGAAAATTACCTAAACTTAAGAGGCTGACACTTCGAGGATACCATCGGAAGGGCACACTCGAAAAGTTGTTTCAAGGTCTTAAAAATATGTGCCTTGCAGTATTAGATATTCCCGACGCTCTACTCACTAAGGAAGAAACGCAGATGGTGATGGAAATTAAATCATTATCAGAGTTAAGGAGCGGTTTCAGTGACACGGCAAACTTGGCACATCTGAGTGCTCCCGGCGAAATCGTGATATATGCTAAGCCAGGTCAATTACTTTTAATGGAGCCCTTGATAGCCTTGACAAAGAATTCTTTATTAGAAATAGCACACGAAATAGCACACAATGGCCCCACCATGAACATCAAATTTGACAAGGAACTTGAAACATTGATTGTGAACGATAACGGAATGCATATTGACAATGAACTAAAGAAAGATGCTGTTTTGAACATTACTAATATCCTAACTCGATATATCCAGCTTTTAAATTTGACTGGGTTCGTTTTAGTTGGTGATTTTGACGGATGTATATTGCAAGCCATTTTTCAGTCTCTAGCTACCAAACAACCACAGATTCTTAGAGCATTAGGATGTTTGAATTCCCAGAAAATTAGCCTAGAAAATGCTTGTCCGCTTGCTAATATTCGTTCCTTAGATGCCATTATCTGTGATTTTGGCAATTTGAAAGAAATAATCGCCATGAAAGTAATGCAACTGAACGGGATAACAGAGAAAGCAAACAGAGTGGATTGTATTTATAATGGAAAGGGCTTTATTCGTGTGATCCATACAGATAACAATGTATCACTTATTTTGTATATGAAAACTACTTTTAGTGTTGACGATTTCGCTCCTTTAATATCAATCTTTTATTAACTTTATAAAGTTATTCAAAAACCTGCAGGAATTGGATATTAAAGATCTTGACCCCGATGATCTCATAGAAGTCTCCCAAGTTCGTGGCCTGAAGGTCCTTAAATTTGGTGTCCATGGTTCCAGTGGTATCAACATTTATCATCTGGCCGCGTTAAATCACCTCGAGTCTCTAACGATAACGAAACATCCGTTAGGATCTTTAAGAACGCTTTTAAACGCCCTGGCCTCTAAAACAGATCAAGTACTCCAAAGCCTCAGTATTCAGCAAGAAAGCCTTACTTCCGATGAGATTTTCGAGCTTGTTGGAATACATTCCTTGCAAAGATTGCAACTAGGGGTACCCAACCGTTTTTATGTAGTGGAAACACCTTTTAACTTGGAACTCATAGCCAATTTGCCAAAGCTTAAAGAACTAAATATTCACTTTTATTATGAAACCGAAACTGTCGATAGTTTGTTAAGGGCTTTAACCCTGCAATCCCCTCAACGACTGCTGTCACTCTCAATTGCATCTAGGCACACAAAGTTGATATGCCAACTTCAAGAATTGCAGTCCCTCCAATGCATTGTGGACCGAATGGAAGATGTTATTCACATAACAACTCTTAGAAATCTGACAGAGTTACAGATTCACAATCCTGAAACAACTTCAATGTGGGTGCTTCTCAAGGAACTGAAAGTTTTACCGGCTCTTCAGAGTTTGCTTTTGGATGACACAAGACTACAATTTTTGGATGTTGTGGAAATAACGAAATTAAATTGGTTAAAACGATTACGATTGGGAGTGGCCGAAAAACAATTCATCTATATGCTGACGGAATTAAAAAATCTGGAAGCTCTGGAAATCACATCGGAACATTTCGCGGAGGAAAATGAAGGCAACTTTTGTGTTTCATTGATTGAATCATGCTTAAATCTTAAATCAATATATCTTTATCGATGTAAAAATTTGATAACAAAAAAGTTTTTCGTTGCCATCCTTAAAAGCATAAAAACTATACGAAATCCTCAACTTCATCCCCCACTCAAATTGCGAGGAAAGTGGGTTTGCTTCGATGGCCATGATAAAGAGGTCGGACTAATGGTCAGTAACATTCTTTTTATATCCTTGCAGAGGCTATTATAATTTCAGTCAAAAGTTAGCAGTGAAGGAGACGTTTGCGATCAAATATTTGGGGTATTCACAGGAGTGCCGAATGGAGATGTAGCAAATCTGCCAAATGGTTACATAATAAAATTTTTATTAAGCCAATCGATAGGGTTTGAAGAAACAAATGCATATCAGTAAAAATGTTCATTATAGCATCAAAACAAATGCATATCAGCAAAAAATTTGATTATAGCATCAAAACTGTGGGCGGCCACACGTTTTTGGGGCCTGTGTGCGTTAGGGGGGGAGCGTAGCACCTCGATGAAACAAACATGCGCTGCGTAGGAATCTCTAGAATATGCTTGCTCAATGCCGATCGTCGATCTAGCCATGGTGAAACTATACAAGGTGATCTCGTCAGCTCTGCTGAGGATGTTAAATATGTTTACCTCTCTGTCTCTCTTAAACGATAGAATGAGAAAGCTAGATAGATAGATGGCACAAATATCGTCCTCAAAAGAGGGCAGCTCTCGCGACGAGATCACCTTGTATAGTTCCACCATGGATCTAGCCATGTCCGTCTGTCCGTCCATTTCTACGCAAACAAGTCTCTCAGTTTTGAAGGTATCAGGCTAAAACTTTCCCAAAATCCGTCTTTCTTTTGCAGGTAGAATATCATATAGCTCCCATAGGAATAATCGGGAAAAAATTCATATAGCTGTTATAGAAACGATCGGAAAATTAATGAGAAATAATAGGAAATGTTTTTAGGAAGCTAGTTTTCTTCTTGTTTTTTGGATTTGCGAAATTTTTCCTAAGTGTATTCTTGACAACATTAACAGTCGAGTCGATCTAGCCATTTCCGTTTATCCGTCCATTTTTACACAAGCTAGCCTCTCAGTTTTAAAGCTACATGTTTTTTTATAAGCTGCACTTAGACGAATCCCATCCCAATACACTCGAAATTCGAGGCAATCGAATATTTGTCGCAAAATAACTCTGCAAGCAATCAGAAAACCGAAGGGATAGAGTTCGGGCATTTAACAATGACTATTTCTTTAAAGTTTAAGGGTATATAAACTTCGGCTTGCCGAAGCTAACTTTCTTTCTTGTTGTTTAAAATCCCTTATAATTTTAGATTCTTTACCGCTATGACGCCTATACTCAATTGGAAATCACGGATGAAATGGAGCTAAAAAATGAAGAAGAATCGGATGACTCGCTTTCCTATTTTTCAGCAGCCTCAACAAAGTCCTCATACTTCAGCTTCTAATTAAAGAATACATATTCTGTCCATAATTTGTAGACAAGAAAGTATATATCTACAATGAACATCAACTGGGGAAATTGCCAATTATCGGCAATAGTAGCAATTGTTTATTCCCTTTTTTGTCCCGCTCACCAGCCCGCATGCTTTATTTGAAGTGCTGAGTGTTTACCAATTGTTTACCAATAAATAAATATATTCAATCTAGACTTTTTGTTGATGCGAAATTAATGATACGCAAATTAAAAGCTTAATTTGTTTATTAAAGCCATCCACGTTAAGACTTTTAGTGGCAAAATGTAATTTACAAGTTTGGAAGACTGGTTTGAGGGGCAGCTCCACTAATTAACGGTTTGGCAAGCGTCGTAAATCGTCTACTGAATTGATCCTTTACCAGCTCAGGTGTTACAGTGGAGGCCGCGTCGAGGTACTGAACCACTTGAATTTGGCCCTTGTCAAGCACGGGAACCTGCCGAACTCGAAGCCCCGGAAGGAGTATTTGACAATGAACCATGGTTAATCCCAGGATACCGACCAGTACTGTCAAATGGAGCTTCATATTTCTGTTGGTTGGTGGCAACTTAATACTTGTGCCTGCCTCGTACCTCCACATTTTATACTTATCCAGGTAATACAGGAAGTCTAAGCACAGGGGTGAGTGATCTGCCTCAGAGAGAGTGAACTCCAATTGCTTCATCGCAAAAGCTCAGTTTCATTCAACCAGTCCAGCAGCATCAAAATTTGAAACAACTGGATTTGTTATTTATATATGTATGTATATGCCCTCATTTACAATCAGGAATTTGGGATATCTAAAAACGTATGAATTAAAATAATAAATATAAATAAAAATGTTTTGTAAAGTCTTTCATATATTCTTTGTAGGTGGTATTCGGACTTCAATTACATGTTTGAAACGCGTCGGAAAACTAATAAAAAGAAGTATATTTTAAATAGTTTTCCCAAAATCGTGACCACCGCAAAAATTCCGAGATAATAGCGATAAAATTGTACATGTTTTTTCGTGCAAGTATTCTTAGAGCTATACAAAAAAAAAAAAAAAAATATAAATTTTAAAACCATTAAATAATAAATTATACAGTAATTTAACAGTTTAGGGAATACCCCAATACATTTTTAATGGCAATTTATCGATAGTCGCCAGGGAACTCAGATGTTTCCACAATTTTTAAAGATAGCGCGTCATCGATGGTTCTCCATCCCTAATTTAAACTTCGACTTTGATCACCGGTTGGATTTTCTATATATATATCAAATACGTCGATTACCAGCTCAACAGACGGAATCAATAGGCGGCGATACAGTCGACCGAATTTATCTCTTCTTTTTATAGTACCCAGCACATTGAAACCCTCAAGAAATGTCTGCAGATCGGCTGGATGTTATTATCTTTGGGGCCAGTGGCTTCACCGGCAAGTACACGGTTTTCGAGGCAGTCACCGTGCTTCGAGGGCTGCGATGGGGAATCGCGGGCAGGAACCGCGAGAAGCTGGAGGCGGTGCTGAAGGAGATGGGCGCCAAGGCCAAGAAGGACCTCTCCCAGGTGCCCGTTTACATCGCGGACGTGAATGACGAGGCTTCCCTGCTGGAAATGGCCAGGAACTGCAGGATTGTGGTGAACACAGCAGGGCCCTATCGCTTCCACGGCGAGAGGGTCGTGAAGGCCTGCATCGAATCGGGCACCCACCATGTGGACGTCAGCGGAGAGCCCCAGTACATGGAGACCATGCAGCTAAAGTACGACCAGCGGGCCAAGGAAAAGGGCGTGTACGTGGTCAGCGCCTGCGGCTTCGACTCCATTCCGGCCGACATGGGAGTCATCTTTGTGGAGAAAAACTTCGACGGGGTCGTGAACTCCGTGGAGACCTTCCTGGAGAGTGGGATCAAGGAGGGCGGAAGTGGCGGAGGCAGTGCTGGCCTGAACTACGGAACCTGGGAGAGTGCCGTCTATGGACTGGCCCACTCGGACGAGCTGCGCGGCATCCGGCAGCAGCTCTTTCCCCAGCGGCTTCCCAAGTTCTACCCCGTTCTCCGGCCACGACCCCTGGTCTTCCGCTCCACAGAGGTGGACAAAGTGTGCCTGCCCTTCCCAGGCTCGGATCGCTCAGTGGTGATGAGGTCCCAGCGCTTCCTCTACGAGCAGGACAAGAAGAGACCCGTGCAGATGCAGGCCTATGTGGGATTCCCATCTTGGCTGGCTGCCGGCGCTGTGATCCTTTTCGCCAGCATCTTCGGCCTGCTCTCCAAGTTTCAGCTGGGACGCACGCTGCTTCTCAAGTACCCAGGCCTGTTTTCCGGAGGATTGGCCTCGAGGTCTGGACCGAGTGAGGAGTCAATGGATCGCACCTACTTCAGAATGACCTTCAAGGCAACCGGCTGGCCTAAAGGCGATCGCCTGGCCGAGAGTTCTGACCAGTATACGGAGCCTCCGACCAAGACCTTAATGGTACGTGTGTCTGGCATGAACCCTGGATATGGAGCCACCTGCGTGGCCTTGCTCTCCACGGCACTGACCATTCTTCGCGAAGCCGAAAAGATGCCCAACAACGGCGGCGTTCTGGCGCCAGCTGCCGCTTTTTCCAAAACCAGCCTTATTAGCGAGTTGGAGAAGCACGATCATGGCATTAAGTTCGAGATTCTGGCCAATAAGTGAAGGGCAGACCGAACAAAACGGCTCTCTATTAACCGCTAGCTGCGCTAAATGCACGGTTTCCACTTTACTTATATAAGCACTTATTAAATTTACTAACACAACCGATAAACTACTTGACAATGTTTACCCTTTTTATATTTGCTGATTTCCAAGTTCAAAAATCAATATAGCTTCGGGCGAAACAGGTTGTGTACGTAATAACATCATATACCCAAAGGTAGCGGCATAGAATTAGATGTATTAAGACGGGGGAATTGACATCTTTGACCCTATAAAGCAAATATAATCTTGATCAGCATCAGCAGGCGTGTCAGCCTCTGTTTCCAACTTATTTGCTCGCTATTAAATATTGCTCGCAATTAAAATATTTCAGGAGGATATATTAAGTTAGCATTAAAAGTAACGCAAGTAAATGGTACTCAGTCGACTGAGATAATTATTTATTTATTTATACGCCATCTTTTTATGGACTTAACAGTATCCGTCCAGGAATAACTTAAATTTTGGCGAACCGGTTCTATATTGCAACAGTAAAATGCTTTGCATCACTTGATAAGTAGATTAAAGGTCTGGTTGGGGGCATATATTTGGAGAGGGTTGGCGGCGTAGATGGTGACCGGTAGGTTCCACACCATCGTCTCCACGGGCAACTCGGCCGGTGCTTTCAACTCGCCAAACTCTGGATTCGGGATGCCAAAGTCCATCATCGTGGTGGTCACAAACTCGAAATGCAATCGCCAACGGACGTCGACGAGATCCGTGCGGAATGTGGGTGTTACATGCAGCGGAATCGGCACTACTACCTGGGTCTGCAGTGTGGCATAGCACACTTGGTGAGAGGTGGAAATGGTCGAGAGTTTCCCGGTCGGTTCAGGAACTTCCTTGTCCCGTGAACTTCCCGATGTGACCGATTTGTGGAGGCTATCAGCAACAACTCCGCTAGCTATGCTGGCCATATCAAACGAGTTAATCGAGGAAACATCATCCCCCGTGGACGATTGAGATTGAAGTTGGTGATTCTGCACAGGCTGTGGACGGACGGAAAGCTCCTGCTGCTGGAGCTTCACCGAGAATTGAACGCAGCGAACCTGGAACGATAAAATAAACATTTTTATCTGATTCTTATTTTACCATATAAATTGTATATTGTACTAACCTTGCGGGGGCTTACACCGGGCCCAAAGTCTAGGCTGCCCACGATGTCCTCGCCAAGCTTGTAAGCTGGCTTAAACAAGCAAAATCGACCAACATATCCACGCTTGTTCGAAATGCGATAGAACTTGGGCGCCCGACGAGCAGTCACATTCTAAAAGTTATAAAAAAAATGGGTACATATATAATATAAATCTATATTAAATTAATATTATTTATTGAATTTTAGGCAACGTTTAGATGATCAAGTTATCTCAAAAACAAGAAAGGAAGCTACCTTCGGCCAGCCGAAGCTTATATACCCTTGTAGATAAAAGAATACTTACTCGGTGCAGTTCCAGGGATTCCAGATTCAGCGTTTCGATTTATTTCAATTTTGTTTTTAAGTAGTCAAGAATCAAAACGCCTACTTCCTACAAAGTTACAATGAATTTTCTTATATTTGTTTGGGAGCCTTAAGATATAGTGGTCCGATCCGGCTCGCTACGACATATGTACTACCTGCAATAGAAAGAAGACCTTCGGGAAAGTTTCATCGCGATAGCTTTAAAACTGAGAGACTAGTTCGCATAGAAACGGACAGACGGACAGACGGACATGGCTAGATAGACTCGGCTATTGGTGCTGATCAAGAATATATATACTTTATGTGGTCGGAAACGTCTCCTTCACTGCGTTGCAAACATCTGACTGAAATTATAATACCCTCTACAAGGGTATAAAAATATCTAGGATTTCCCTGTCATATTTAAACCCAGACTTAGACAGCTTCAGGCGCAGCGAAATAAATTTCTAAAATTAAAATCTTACTGAATCTTAACTTTAAAACATTTATTTTTAATCTGGCTCAAGAAAAAATTACACTCTATTTCTAACTAACCTTAAGGTGGTGCCACGATATCTCCAGTTCGCTAATCTCGCGCTTCTCGAGGAACGGATTAGTGGGTGCCAGCTCCTCGTTGGTCTCTACAGTTACGGGCAGCTCATCCGGGCGGGAAATTATGGGAATGGGCAACACCCGTATGGGAACAGTCAGCGTCTGCACCTTGGACTTGACCCGTTGCGTAGCAATGGTGATCTTGTAGAAGTACCGGATGTTGTGACCTCTGTAGGTCGGTGGGCCATCGCGCGGAACGAATTCATTAAAAAAGTCTGGAAAATGGAAATATTGGTTTTTAAAAATATTTTTAATACAAACTTAAATTCTGAAAATAATTTCCTAGGTCATATTGTTTAAGCGGTGTAAACGTGATAGTGTGTTTAGACACTACCGATGCGATTTTAGAAATTTTAATTTAAGCAAAAATTATAGTGAAACGGAGCTTTGCTAAAAAATTCTTTTAGGATTACAACTTCCTTTTCAAACATTCGTCGAACGTTAGAAAAACTTAACTCATTTTCTATCCACAAGGTTCCTATTGAAAAATATTCTGAACATTGTACTTTTCGACGCAAATCAATATTGTGTCCGTACTTAACGATACAAACTGTTTTAAGCTAGTTCTGGGTGCATTAAAAAAGCAAAATTGTATGTCAATACTCAATGTTTAGCGTCGACTTGGAACTTGCAGGAATTCTCAAAAATAACGGGTGGGTAACTTCAGTGACATCCGAAGTGGAACATTGAAACCATATCCGGGTCTACTTACACATCTTGGACTCTCCGGGCTGCAGGCGCAGGTCGCAGAAGAGGATCTTGGGTTTGGTGGCCACAATCACTTCGCCCGGCGCCTGGGTCACCGCATCCAGGGCAGTTCGTCCGATCATCTCCGCGAGCTCCGTGGTTTTGTCACTCGTGGAAATGGAGTAGCTGGTCTTCCGGTAACAATGCAGCTGCGCCGAGGCCCAGGCGAGGTTTTCCTGACTGCAAAGCGAATAATTGGGCTCAATTCAAAAGGTAAACAACTTTTCAGCTCACCTTGCTTCGTTGGCATTTCTGTTTTGGGATGTGGGCGGCTCATCCGAGAAGACTTTGTGGGTGAACTCGATGAGGCACTCGACTCTTTCGCCAGTGGCGTAGATGGCCGAATCCGCCCGCACCAATTTCGCCTTTATTTCAATCATTTATTTACGTTTTCTGTTTTCTTTTAAACAAAATAAACTAGGGAGGAGATATTCGACAAGGCTTATCGATGTTTATATTTTAATTAATTAGTATTTTAATATCAACATTAAAGGGCCTATAATATGGACTGTGAAGAAATTTCCTCTTGGGGAAAATAAGTTATATATATATAAGTTGGCCAAATTTAGTCTGTATACATTGGTAAATAAGAATGCAGAACAAAAAATAAATGGACAATAATAAATATTAAAAACATCGATATTTCTCAACATTAGCAACTCAAATAGGGTGACCATCCGAGGAAAAAAATATACGATACTTTGGCAGATGTCGATAATCCCATCGGCAATGCGCGCGCTTATCAGAACACCAGTAATCGTATTTGAAATAGTACAATCTTTTTTGAAAAATATTTAAAAATTAGTTATAAATAAATCAACAAATTTTTGGATCTCAAATACTCTATATTTTTTAAAGTACTCTTTCAGAGTTTACAAACCAAAATGTAATTAAGAAATTCTTAATAAAAAATTTAAAATAAAAAGTAAATTAAAGGCAAACATCTTTAAAAAAAATATCAATATTTTTATTATTTCCTCTTATTGTTTCTGTGGTTCGAAATAGTCAACCGATCGGAAAGAATTTGTACCCTGATTAATGTTTACCTATACAAATTATTAAATATTTTTCTTTTTCTTTTAAAATCTTTTCTAACCAAAGACAGTTTGTTTTGTGGAGCGTTTGAAGCGTGTCATACGTATATATTTGGTAAGTTAGTGTGATTAAATTAATTCAAAACAATTAAACTCGTAGCAGCGACTAACTTGAAAGATAATAAAAAAATAAATCCAAAAATGTGCCAGAGATTGCAGCTGTAAAGTTCTACCCGTCAGCAATCATGTCACGTTGAGGAATCATCTGTATCCAGCCTCCTCCTTTTCGGCTTTGGTGGGCCAGAATTTTTGGACTCATGACGTCGGCCGTCTCTCCCTCTTGTGTCAGAACGTCCTGGTCCTGGATCCGTGTGACATCCTGGTCTCGCATCTGGAGCCTCTCCCCACGGCACCACCTTGTGCTCGATGGTGGACAGAACTGCGGTGCATCCGAGCTTGATAGCCACCGGAAGGGTTCGGAAGAGGGTATTTCTGTCGGGGCTCTCCATATTCCAGTGCACAGAGAAGTCGCACCGAATGATGCACAGCCAAGTCCTTCCACCGGAGTTCAGGTCATTCTCCATGCCAACGGCCACGGCTGCGCAGACGAGATCACGGGCGGACTGTTCGTCCAGACCCTCCGACCACCGCGACTCTAGCATGGACATGGCCGCGAGACTGCCGGAGCCCAGCGAGGTGAACGGCACTGTGTCCGTGGTGCCGTCGAACCGAGTGCAGAAAAGATGGGTTCCGGTTCGATCCACCCCGCCGATGACCACGTTGGCCTCCATGTTGCCGCTGAAGCGGTAGAGCAGCTGCCTCACCATCTGGTTGGCACAGCGCACTGGCACTTTGCGGAATCCGGTGTTCATGCGGTGGAGTTCCAGCTGCGCACGCGTCACCTCCATCAAAGCACTTGTATCTTGTGCGACTCCGGCACCACCGGCACTTGAAAAAAAGACAGATATAAATTAAAGGAATATAAAACGCTATAGTTGAATACATCTACTTAGTTAGTTACTAAGTTAATAAGCTAAAATAAGTGCGAGGGAGAAGAAGTTATGCAAGCAGTAAGTCGACTGCGTGCTTTCCATTATTTTCTCATAACTTTTTAATAAAAAGTTTTTATGAATGGTCCGATTTTTAAATACGGTTAAGTACGGTCAATCCCAACATTTAAGTTTTTGTAGTTTTGCTGAGAAACTACGGACCGACGGCTATGAATAGATCAATTCGGCTAGTGATCCTGATGTGGAATATACATTGGTAAAAAAAACGCATAGTAAAATCAAATATTTTTATACCCTTGTAGAGGGTATTATAATTTCAGTCAGATGTTTGCAACGCAGTGAAGGAGACGTTTCCGACCACATAAAGTATATATATTCTTGATCAGCACCAATAGCCGAGTCTATCTAGCCATGTCCGTCTGTCCGTCTGTCCGTCTGTCCGTTTCTATGCGAACTAGTCTCTCAGTTTTAAAGCTATCGCGATGAAACTTTCCCGAAAGTCTTCTTTCTATTGCAGGTAGTACATATGTCGGAGCGAGCCGGATCGGACCACTATATCTTAAGGCTCCCATAGGAAAATTTAAACAAATATAAGAAAATTCATTGTAACTTTGTAGGAAGTAGGCGTTTTGATTCTTGACTACTTAAAAACAAAATTGGAATTCCTGGAACTGCACCGAGTAGGCATTACTTTATCTACAAGGGTATATAAGCTTCGGCTGGCCGAAGGTAGCTTCCTTTCTTGTTTTAGTTGATTTCATTTACTACTTTTCATAGTTAAATCAAATAAATCAATCAATGATTTTAATAAAAAGCATATTTAAACCTTCGTTCAAATATAAAAATAATTAAATCGAAGGGAATTATATTTGAAACGATAATACTGATGTTGAAACCCAAAGTCGCAATAGTAGTTTTTATAATTATAAATAGTTAGTTATATACATAGTATAATCAATGTATTTTTATGATCCGATTAAATACTTTTGCAGCTTATCCGGAATATAAACGATTTATTTTGAATAAAATTATTTTGAAAGGCAAGATTCAAATAATATTAAATTAAATTTTCATAAAATGTATAAGTGAAAAGTCGCATTTTTAGTTTTAAAAAGTTATATGTGTTATGGATCGTGTTAACTTTACATTTAAATTGAACTTATCCACTCGCGCGTAACATGGCGCGATGGATCAATGGGTAAGGCATCTACCTCTGATGTGAGAGGACCCCGGTTCGAACCCCGTCTCAGGCAGAGTGAGTAAAAAGTTTTTAAGAAGCATATTTAACATTTCCTTAACATTTCTTAAAGCAATATTGTATTAAAAAAGTTTAAAGATTACTAATTACTAAAAAAAAAATTAAGTTGTGGTGTCAGCGGGACTTGAACCTGGTAACTCCCGAGCACAAAATAGTATCAGAACCTAGCCCTTGACCCCTGAACCATGCCCATATTATTTCCTATCGAGGCAGAATGCTCTTTTAAGTTCACAATAATATTTTTGATTGTAATGACAATAAATAACTCCATTCTCTTAATTAAGGTAAATATTTTAGGCGCTCATGCGAAAAAAAAAACAAATTTGTATATTATAATTCCCAGATTCTGGGTGAAAAAAAGAGTCAAATCAAATACAAAAATCTTTGAATTTACTATAAAAATATTTAAAACATTATTAAATATGCGCCATATGCGATTTTACTATTTTCATGTTAGGATCTATTTCGCTGGGAAAAATAATTGAAACAATGGTAAAATAGCGACATTTACCATTTTTTTTTTACCAGTGTACACACTTTATAGGGTCGGAAACGCTTCCATATTCCTGTTATCACAACTTTTCCCCCAAATTCAATATACCCTTACTTACAAAATGTTGGCCTGCAGTTCATAAATTTTGCGGCTATTACTCGAAGGTATTATGTTGGCGTTGGTGGCCCTGGAATCTGCGCCAATTATGACTCCTCCATCATAAATTACGCCGACTATGGTGGTGCCCGTGCTGATACGATTCGGCTCCAAAATACCACTCTCCACAAGTCTTTTATTGCTGTTGAAAAGAAATAAGGAATAATGTCGAGTACTATGTACAAGCATTATTTACCGCAAACAATTGTCGAAACTAAAACCGCTGCAACCACAATGATAAGGCGATTGTTCGGCATACTTCATCATCGTTGGTATACCGCTAAACATAATGTATAACTTCTTTCGTTTCCAAATAAAAAATATATTTAAGTCTTCTTCTTTATGATTCTCGTGCCTAAAATAAAAATTTCATGTACTGAAATTAAATCCACTGCCTGGTTGATTAAGATAGTCAAATCCAAGATAATTTCCACGAACCATTTCTCATTTTCCATGATATTTGAGTGCTCCTGACTAAAAGTCCCTTTCAAACTTATGTTCCATTACCTACAGGTTCCGCGGTATGGCTAAAAATACAAACAAACGAGGTTTTTCAATTTTTTTTTTACAATTTTTGATTTTTTTACCCTTGCAGAGGGTATTATATAAACTTCGGCAAGCCGAAGTTAACTTCCTTTCTTGTTTAAAAATGAAATCTCTAATTTTCTTTTCTTTCTTACTGTTTAATTCATAGATTCTGCATATTTTATATTGACTATTCTGTTACCGTCCGTGTTACCATCGAATACATGGGTTTCATCAAAGACATCAAGGACCAGGACCAAATACACATTGGTGGATTCCCAGGAAAGTTTAGTCCTCCGCATCAACTCTATCGCAGACTATCAGCAAAGAATTGCTGATATAATAAGTAAAAATTATTCAAATTTGGAAACGGTTCAACCTTTTGTGTTCGTAGAAGGTCAAAGTGTCACTTCTTTAAAATCATTCTTGGTATACTTTGATAAAACTATTTATAGATTTGATTAATTTATTCAATCCTTAGATATTTGTTTCAAAATATTTAACACACGGGATTTAAAGTATCCTCCGGCCTCTGAATTGCCATGGATTTTTTTTCAACAGTATTTTTACAAAATATACACTGAATACGATAAAAAATCAGCCAATTTGTCATCCTTGCTAAGTATCTTAAAAAGTTAAGTTTTAAAAATGCATCCTTGTTATAAATGCAACAAAAGCTTTAAAGATGGCGATTTATTAATTAAGCACTTGCAGCTTTACCACATAATTAAAAAACCGTCACTAGATGATCCCTTACAATGTAAGCTTCCCTCATGTAATCAACTGTTTTCTGCATATTTTAAAAAACAAAACCCCACGATATACCATTCTGTGAAACAGTCATTGAAACAACTGTTGAATTGGTTCCAGACCAATTAAATTTAAGTTTAGAAAGTTTTGATTTTTGTTTTGAAGAATTTAATGATTTACACATTCAACGTATATTCAAAACCTTCAAAGAAAATTCGTTTTTGTTTACCCTTCGTTTGCACGAAAAATCTTTTCTGCCACGAAATGAAATAGTTAAAGTTCAAACTAAGCAAAGCTGGCCCAAATGCCGCGGCTCTAAAAAAGATTCAAGACTCGATTATTTCTTTCTCCGCGAACCCTTTTGAAAACATACAATCGGAACATACGTTTTTCAAAACATTAAAAATGAAACAATTGTTTGAAGACCCTAAACCGTACACAATATCTAATGTTATTGGTCCTAAAAATAAAAAGGGCTGTGCTTCTCTTCTTCCTAATAAAGTAGACATTGTTATGATGCATGTAGTTTTTCAATAAAGTCATTTTTTTAACTTCCAAATATCTTGAAACTAATCATTCAAAATCAAAAATTTCTAGAGGCCAATGATATTTTTCGAAATTTTGTCAATACAGAGTCTTGACCGAAAAAACTTTTTTTTTAACTTCCAAATATCTTGAAACTAACCATTCAAAATCAAAAATTTGTAGAGGCCAATGATAATTTTCGAAATTTTGTCAATACAGAGTCTTGACCGAAAAAACTTTTTTTTAAGTTCCAAATATCTTGAAACTAACCATTCAAAATAAAAAATTTCTAGAGGCCAATGATAATTTTCGAAATTTTGTCAATACAGAGTCTTGGACGAAAAAACTTAAAATCTATAAATCCGATGATATTGTTATACCTTTTTTTTTGTATTTTGACGATTTCCAAATCAATAATCCAATAGGAGCCCACGTCTCCTCGATTTGCGGCTGCTACTACTCATTTCCAACGCTGCCTCAGTATCTGTTATCCAAACTAGATTTTGTTTTTCCGTTCGCTTACATACCGTCTAATGCTTTTGAGCACATTGAGTGCGACATAATATTGTACCCTTTATTTCGAGTTCTTAAAGAATTGGAAAATGGTGTCAAAATTGAGATCGAAGAGGAAATTAAAACTGTTTATTTTGTTATCGGCCTAATACTGGGCAATAATCTGGGCTTAAACTCACTGTTCGGATTTGTCAAATCTTTTAGAGCTAAACGCTTCTGCAGGGCATGCAAGCGAACAAACATTGAAATGAAATCCGATTTTGAAGAAAATAAAAAATATCTTAGAGATACAAAATCTTATAACATCGATGTAAAAGCAAATAATAGAAACCGGCATAAAAACCGAATGTATATTCAACAAGCTAAAAAACTTTCACGTCATTTAAAACTTTTACTTCGACCTCATGCACGACATACTAGAAGGGATATGTGTGTATGGAATTTGTCAAACACTAACTGCATTGATTAAAGATAAAATTTTAAACATTGATTTAATAAACGACCGCAAAAGTATGTTTCCATTTGGAGAATTGGATGTAAGAAATATTTCACGATCTTTAGATTTGAATAAATTTAAAAAAAAATGTATTTAGAATGACCGCCATTGAAAAACTTTGTTTTGCCAGATTTTTACCCATAATGATTGCAAATGATATACCTAAAAATAACGATATTTGGATACTGTATACACTTATGTTAGAAATAATCGATATTTTAAAAATGTATTTATTTATTTCATTTTTTTGCAGAGGGAGAGGAGCGCCCAGGAGAGGAGCCGCCACAGGATCCACAGGAGCAGCCGCAGCACTAGCCGCAGCACTAGCCGCAGCGCAGGGCGTCGTCCGCGACCTGAAAGGGTCGGACGAGACGGCGCCCAATTCTCAAGAGTGGAGGTCAGCAGAAGGTACGTCCAGCACGTAGATGCACGGGGCGGCTTTGGGAGACCAAGCCGTTCCAGTGCAGTGCGTGCTAGACGTGCTTCGTGATGAAAAAAAACGCGAAATTCCACAATTGTATGGCGGAATACAGAGGGCACCCGTGCCCAAATTGCCCCTTTGTGGGCATAGATGGCCTCACTGGCCACAAATGCCTTGGGGAAAACGGGGTACCTTATATCCCCGATACATACGTAGAAAAAATAAATCAAAATGATTATTTAAATTTCATAAAAAAATTAGCGAAGCAAACAACAAAACGTCTTCTGATTCTGTACAACATTTTATTAGACTTTCAGTACTGAACTAAAATTGTATCTGGTTTAAAAAAAAGTGACCTTTACTTTAGGCTTCAACGACAAAAAACTTTGTTTTTTTCTTTGTTTAGCTGAGTCACCTTTCGCACCCTCAAAACTCGACAGTTTACGATACCCATAATCACTTTAATGCTTAAGAATAATTTTGGGTATGGCATACGTATGTTTTTACTCAAAACATATTCGTAAATGTTAAGCAATGGGTAAAATAATGTTTAGCATGGCCATTTTTGATCGGTAGGGCAATGATGATAGGGTCTTCCCACAGAGCTCCATCCACCATCTACCATCCGTTGAACGGATGGTCCGTAAGGTTTTGCCGTTCCGAAAATTTCCCAGTTAGTCCGCCATCCAATTTTTTTTTTTTTAGGCTTTGATTTCAACGAATGTTGAATGTGCATATGACCAGATACTTTGTCTTGAATTTTGTGTTACACAAACTTAACCTAAAAGTGAATCCACACCACGAGGTCCCTTGCCCTACCCGGCGTGAAATGTGCGTGTTTCTTCAAAGGCCCTGTGAATGTGGACTGGCCAATGATGCCACCTTGTCGAAAACCGACAATTTCCTTAATTTTTAGTAGGGGGATTCCCTAAACTGTTGAATTGCTGAATTGTTGAAAATTCAACAAAAAATTTCAGCAATTAAGGGAACGACCCAAAATGGTTCCTGTTGAATTTTCAAACAGCTGTTACTTGTTGAAAAGTTTCACGGAACTTACAGCATGTTAAATTTGATTTATTATTGCTATTAAGTGTCTAAAAGTGTTACCAAGGTAAAAAGAACCACAAATATGCTTTCTAAGTTGATTTTAAAATAAATAATGCGTACTGGTGATACCAATAGTCTAGTCACACTGTGTGGGGTAACCTATCGAGTGAGCCAATAACCCGATTACTCCAAAATAGTGTTTCCACTGGGTTAACTCCAAATATCGAGTGATGACATCTAGTGTTTGTTGTTTGTGTTGTTTATTTGACAAGGGATGGACCTTCAACGATAGGAAATAAATACAAAATATACCGAAATTTACAAAAAAAATACTCCGAAATACCAAAGACCCTAAAAGTACCCCACTTTTGCCCACATCTAGTTGCCTTTACACATCCTATGTAAAAAAAACAGGGTTATGTCAATAACCCCATAACTCTATAACTCCACCCCAGTGTAAATAGACTATAAAATGTTACAGAGTTGCCACGACTTTTAAAAAAAGGTGACAACTCTGGCTTTTCAGCAATTCAACAAAATTTTCAACAGCCCCGAGGCTAATAATATTTATTTTATTATTATTTAAATTATTTAAATCCATTGTTTACTTCAGCTCGCAAATGACAATAGCACAACAGCTGTTTTCAGACGCGTTTGCCAATGGAAACACCTCACGTCCGCCTATCGCGTTGCCAATCGAAAATACACAAAAATACCGAAAAAACCGCATAGTGGAAAAATGTCTTTACTCTATGCTGTGAATGTGGACTGAATGCGTGTTCTCTCTTTCCATCAAGCTCAGTTTAGGGGTTTTTTACCGACCGCCCTCGCGGTCACACTGCAATTCGGCATTTTATGGAAAACGTAAAATGGGTCACTCATTTGAACATCGCGAGCTAATCCACTACATCGTCAGCCTGAGAACTGTTCTCCTCTGTCTCCGATGGCCTAAGAGGCAGAGACAGTATCTCTTGGAGGAGAACAGCCTCCTGCTCCTCATCTATTGGTTGTGAAGCAGGAGCAGGGGATGATGTTGTGTCCCCTGTCCCAGGTCTGGCGTTGGCTAGTAAGTTGGTTAGTCCGTCTGTTAGTCCGTCTGTCGT